GTATATATGTGTATATATATATTATATATATACATATATATATATGCATATATATATGTATACACATAGAGAAGGTGCTTGCACATACTGACTGCATTTTGACTTAATTTTCTTAATTTTCATCTACAAAGCTGGAAACAGCTAAGGAAATTAGGGTTAACTGAAAATAGGATTCTATTATCTTTGATTCAACTTTTTGGAATACTATGAGGAATTTTTGTTTGTTTAGATACAAATCTGCAAGTGATGTTGATCTGGGTAATACAGATGGTGAGGTGGTAGCTGAATTCATGGCTTATAGAAGGCAACTTCGAAATATGCTATCAGCAGTTGGGAATTTTGTATGTCATTTTCTTACGATATGAGTTTTGGCAAAGCGACTGATCGAGACGTGAGAGCGAAGGAGAGGGGAAAAAGGCTGGAGAGTGCTGAAATCAAGACGCATCTGGACGCATGAAACCGTTGCGGATAATTAGAAATATATAATATTTTGACCAAGAACAGTTTTACCTGCATTTGCCAACATAAAATTGATCCTAGATTATTAAAATGGGCTGGAATCAATAAGCTTAGATTCATTATTTTTGATAGTGGATTACAATAAACACTGGTTTCTTTGTGTTAATATTTGGATTTTCTTGTACTTAATTTTTAAAATCGCTGGTTCCAAAGTTTAGGAACCGGAGCCGATATTGATGAAACTGGAGCCATCGGTGCGAAATGTATGTGAAAACTGGAAGCAGTGCCACATGAGTGTTATCGAAGCTACGTTAACACTAGTGTATGACCTTGCTGACTTCATACACGTATGTTATTTAGCATACTTTGAGAAATTCAAGGTTTAGTTTTGAATATCCAGAATTATACCCATAAAAGAAAGTGACCTCGTACATGCAAGGCTGGGAACTTCTATGCCGTGTTCAGTCATTTATTTTACATTTCGATAATTTATTGTGGATATTTCTTCTTACTTACAGTGATGGGGAACACGTAGGAGGAGGATTACTGGATTACTGCTAGAAAAATGGAACTTACATAAGTCAAGTCACTATAAACGAGATAAAGTATACCTTTTACAGAAGAGTTTTTTGCAGACAAATTTCGGAGGTAATAGCAGTTTAATCTCTGAACGTGCAAAAACACTGGCAACACAGGTCCGTTATGATTTATTTTGTTTCGAAACTATAAATTTTGCTTAGACTGATAACCGAGCAATGTAGTGAAAAGCTTCTGTGTATTATTCTTGTGCGTGTTTCATTTAGATTCTACAAAGTACAGTAAATCATTGCGGATTACCTTGTATCAGTACATTATTCTTCGAAATTGCATGTCGTTATGAGAGGATCCTGCAAAGTAATACCGGTCCACTGCCAATAATACTGGTTTGGATTTCAGCTTGCAACCTTAGATATATTCCCATCAGTGAGCAGTTGTGTAATGTGTGACTGAAATAGTGACTGTTTTTTCGGCTGACTTTGATGTTCATATAGATTTCCTTGTCTTATCCCAATCTGCATAGACACCATTTTGCGTCTGAACATTCATTTCTTATTTTCCTTTTCAGGAAGCATTCTTGGATACACGTGGTCTTCGCCAAGCTTCGTTGCAATCACGAAGTCGCATTATCTACTTATTTTGTCGCTTTGTAAAAGCACATAAGTAAGCAAAACTTCCTTTATAAATAGTTGTTTTGAATTACCTTCTCAGTGACAAGTGTTTTCAGGCTTTTCTTGGGTAACCAAGCTGAAAATATTCTCGTACAATTGGAATCATTTTTCACAGTTACATCTGAAGAAGATTACCAACTCTCGAAAGAGGATCAGGTTTTTTTTTTCGTTTTCGAGACTCTTTTGTATACCATTAGATTTTTAATTTTTGCTGTTGCTCCGCAGTGATTATAGCGGTTAAACTGTTTCGTTCAGTAACTTACTATTAAGCTAACGATTTTAAGCATATCAAAAATTAACTATTTCTGGCTTTCAGATTCGCTGTCTTCATCATATAGCATGTTTGTGCCTAATTTTTTTTGAGCCTTCTAGAATCACTGAGTTATTGATTTTGATCGGATTTCAGATGTATCTGTATGAATCTACATCAGTGTTAATTGTTAACAGTAATCTACCGGTTGAAAGGAAACAAGAATGCATAAAAGTTCTCGGTTTATCATTGCTTCAGAAATTCTCACACGTAACGGAAGGGCTATCACGAACAAAGAATGTGGAAGAAGTACAGCAGCTTCATCAGCGGTATGCTGATATTATTGGTTATAGCGCGTGAGTTTTTTGATTTAAAACAGGTCAAGAATTGTGATTTGTTTTCCGACTGCGTTATTTATTTATTTATTATTTATTAAAATCGGTTTAGAATTATCACTTTATTTCATCTCATTATATAATTATATCAAAGAATTAACCATATTCTGCGAGCTTATTTGTATTTTCAGACGTGTTACTAAAGCATTTACAAACAACTATACCATGCAGTGCTGTCAGTGCACTATCGTTTTTATTGAATTGATGAAAGTACGTTCGTTTGCTTTTGCCTATCTTACATCTTATTGTTGCCTGCGCTTCTTTTACATACTCCGTTTTTTTACTGATGGTCAGTGCGTAGGGGAAAGTCCATTGCGAAATGGGAACCTAGTTTCTTAAATTATGCTGTGTTTCTCCAAATAGCTATCAACATTCGTGATTATTGGGACAGTAATAAGTTAATATAATTTTTAGGTTTTTCTGGATAAGGTAACTCCAAATAATGTGGAAGGATTGGACGCACTGAGGCAGTATCTTCATCGGATGGTTACTTGTCTTGATGGTGAAATACTAGCTGTGTTACCAGCTATTTGCGACAAGTATCTTGATGTCGGTTCCAATCTTAAAGTGATGCATGACTTCCTTATTTTACTGCAGCAAATTTTGGGCAAGTTTAAGGTATGTTTCTACGGACTTTTGCTGTATGTTCGCTTCACTCTGAATATTAAATGCCACTTTACTCTACTTTCAGTAAATCACTCGTTACTATCAACACTTGAAATAGTTCTTCTCTGGAAGTCTTCTATCAGAAGGGTAACAAACTCTGTTTTTGTCATTTCAGAAACGTCTTTTGGAAACTGGTCTGAATATTCCTGCTTTATTTGATATTTTGTGGACCGCGCAAATGTCATTCGATATATCCAATGAAAGTCGTGTTAGGGATATGATTTATTACAACCGAGCTTTTCTGCAAACAATCTTGAGCATCTTAACACATGACTTAATTGTTATGTTAACAGACTGCGGTAAGCAATCTCAAAAGTACCACTGCATGCAGTTTTCTGGCAACAAATAATCAAGCCGATTAATTCATTTCCAGATTTTACATTCTTTAACTGAAGATGACGGAAAACCTAGTTTTTTATATTTGTAATTTGAAGGCGCCGAATTCTTCCACAAAATAGCCGACTCACTCATTTCTTACATGAGCTTAAATGATGTGCCAGCACAACGGATTACATTCCAAATTATCAACAAATTATTTCTAAAACTGTCGAACAACGGGTCAACTGCTTTCATCGAATTTTTATGGGAAAAAGCGGTTTGTGGTGCGCTTCAGGTAATTTTTCTACATCTATACACAAAAGATTGTTTTGGAAAGAGTATTTAATAAGTCATCATTGGATTCTGCCGCGCGAAAGCGCTCTGTTCGATTAATTTTTCTAAGTGGGCCTAGAATTTTTCTTCAAAATATGATATTTTTGGTGATCTAGTCAGTATCGCTTGCAGACTCCTCTTAATGGATATCATGACCTTACAGACGCTCAGTGTGTTTTGCTTCAACACGAAATTTATGTATGTTTAC